GCCATTTGGAGGAATTTCGAGGTGGGCACAGTGGGAGGCCTAGACAACCACGAATGGTGCAAGTTGAGGAAGAATTACGAGAATCCCTCAACAAGCACTAGAGACGTGGCTAGAGAAGTGCAAGTATCAAAAACAAAAGTGTGGCAAACGCTGCTTGAAGAGGGGCTGTACCCGTTTCACGTCCAACGTGTACAAGCTCTTCAACCTGACGATTTTCCAGCAAGAGTGCGGTTTTGTGAGTGGTTGTTGCATCAACATGACAATAATCCGGACTTTTTGAAGTGCATATTGGTGACAGACGAATCTACGTTCACGCGTAATGGGGTGAATAACTTTCGCAACACTCATGTTTGGTCAGTAGAAAATCCGCACGCTGTCCGTCGGGCACATTTTCAACAAACATTTTCGGTGAATGTTTGGGCTGGCATGGTGAACGGTATGCTCATTGGACCATTTATTCTCCCAAATCGATTGGACGGGATGCAATACCTAGACTTTTTACGCAACATTTTGCCTTCCTTGTTAGAAGATGTGCCATTAAGTGTAAGACAATCAATGTGGTTTCTGCACGATGGTGCACCGCCCCATTTTAGACGAAGTGCGTGAGTTTTTGAATGAATTATTTCCGAATAGGTGGATCGGACGATATCCAGACTTAACACCATGTGATTTTTTTCTTTGGGGAGAAATGAAACGCTTAGTATACAAAACTGAAATGCATACGGTTGACGAACTTCGTCTCAGAATTGAACAAGCTGGTGCTTTCATTCGGGGGAAGGACTCCATTCTCAAAGCCTGCACCGATGCTTGGCTACGTCGTGCACGCACCTGTGTTTTTGAATCAAACGGCGATAACTTCGAACAATACCTATAAAGTACGTTTACCTAAAAACTGAAAACGCGGCAACGCTGTCATATTTGTTACCTTTGTTCGTGGTCTGCACCACCGCCCGCCTCTTGGAGCGGTATGATTTCGGGCAGAGACGTACTTAGCCCTTCTCGTCAACTGGAGAGCGAGTACTTTTTCCTGTATTTTTTTTTACTTGGTCGCCCTCGTTTCACTACACATTACCTTTGTTATTTCAAGGGTAGTTGTTTCTGAAAAGGACAACTTCAACTTTGCGGACACCCTGTATAGGTGATTTTTGGTATATCAACCTCTTTTGACGGGTCCTACAAGCAGTTAAATGACTCAACTTTGAAAACACTATATATGAAACTATGAAACAAGCATTAAAATTGGATGAAATATTGATACATGAGTTATCTTTCAAAATATACGAAATGAAAGCACTGCTACAGGTACCGTTTTTGCCTTTATTAAAGAAGTCCGGTTTTAAAATTTGCATATCTGTGTCTGAATGCGCGGGAAGTCCGAAGGTTAGAGGTGTGTTAATATTTCTTAAATATTGCTCTACTGTCAATAACAGGTTATCAGAGTTTTGTAAAACAACGGAATTTCGTTGTATAAACCAGAGAAATAGGTGACTGATTTTCGTGCCGAGCTTCTATTTTAAGCGTTCCGAAAAACCTGTTATCTCAAATCACAGAGTTTCACACAGCTGTAGTTTTCCGTATAAAAAGTACTTGGTATCATATCATCGCTAACAATCGATGCCAAACCATTCATGCAAAAATATCATATATCGATTATTACTTAAAAGGAATGTTTATTCAACGTGTAGAGGAAAGGAACCATTTTTTGAGATGGAAAAATAAAGTACTTGTTGCTTTAGACGAGCGTATATTATTAAATAAACTTGCGATTTGATGCTCCTAGCATACTCTAAAATAAAAAAGTAATATTGAATGTATCTTTTTACTGACAAAAAGTATATTTAAAAAAAAGTAAATATTTTTGTTAATTTACAGATGGTTCCCCAATTTGAGATACCATTCAAAAAATTTTTTCTTTTGCAGAAAAAGCAAATGAAAATTTTATTGGTAATCTCTCCACAATCTTCATGTGCCACTACAATGGCTGCCTTTTGCCCATTTTTCACCCTTCTTATCTTCGGAGAATAGATCAGTACAAAATAAACATTCAGCATCGCTTTCGTCTGAAGATGAATCATCCAACTTAAGGCTTCAGCTGCGTTCTGAACTTGAACTGGAGGGGGAAGGTATCTATACGAATCCTTCTGAGGCTTTTAAATGACCCGTCTCCTTATTCCTTACAGCTGTACACTTTAGTATCTCAAATTAGGAATTTTCCGTTAAAAACTTTACACAAGTATATTTAGGTTATATACTCGTAGATACCTAATAAAATAACAGTATTGTAAAACAAAATAGATAAGGTATTTGTAACCTACTAAATTTATATCAGACAACTCACTTTTCTCAGACTATTAAAAATATTATTAACTCTCAAGAAGTAAAAAGCTGTGATGTCACAGCAAACCATGTACAAAACTAAACTGTAAACATATGTAGAATAGTAGAATACTACTGCGTCTTAGTTCACAACTCTTTGGTATTACTAGAATATGGTGCTACATAGATACAAAGTGTCAAACTGTCTCAAATTAGGCGCTTGTCTCAAATTTGGTTCCTTTCCTTATGAATCTAGAACTTTGTTCTGACAGGTGGGACTTTTGTAGGGTGTGATTGCTCAGAAAATGCCAGTGGATATGTTGGGAGAAGTACTGCAGCTACTCCGGAGTAGTACCTCAAACCAGGCCGACCAGATAGCCAAAGTAATCAGGAAATGGGCTAAAGAAAAACAGCTCAATATATCTTGATCTGTTTGTTTATACCTTTATGAATATTAAAAGTTAAGTAAACATTATTTCAGTCTTTTTGGTCTTACTTCACGATCTTCGACACGTTTCTTGTATAGTGCTTTTCAAAAAAAGTTCTCCCATTTTATTTTTAACAAGCTTGAAGTTTGGGATGATGAAATTGGGGGCTGGCCGCTATGTTGAACAATTTTCTTTAGTGGAATAGGCAGTCAAGTCATTTTGAAGCTGCTTAGGAGTACTTCAGGGTTTCCTAGGAAACACAATCGATATATTTCAAAATAGCGGTATTAGGGGACTGATAAAGTTGAGCGTAGTTGTACAATAACAATATCACTAATCACAGGATTGCCTCTGTCCAATGAAAACTTTGTAAATAAAGATGGAGTTTGTTATTTTTGGCTCTTAGGTATTATTTCATTATTTGATAATGTACTCGTAAAATGCAAACAATTAAAAAAAACGGACTTACCACTAACTGTCTCAGCGCTTCACCTGGTGTGTGAAAGTCTATTGAACGTATTAAAAAATCCACTTATAAATAGGGAGCACAATTTGGATACATACGTTGTTTTTCTTTTTAAACCCCACACTGCACTTTTTTTGTATTTAAAGAAAATGTTCGAAATGTCGTCCTCCACTTTCCACACAAGCTTCATTACGACGAGCCCAGTTTCTTCTTACTCTAGGTCCTCGAAGTTGTCCATTTATTATTTCAGCCGCATTAAATTTTTTTTCGCGAAGTTGTGCTTCAGTTGTTATTGGACCAGCCCCATAAACCATCCCTTTAAGTTCTCTCCAATACCAGAAATAAATCGGATTGAGGTCAGGAGATCTTGCTAGCCATTTTCGAGGATCAGGAGCATTTCGACCGATCCAGCGATTTGGATAATGTTCATTCAAATACTGAATGACGCCTCTAAAAATGTGTGGTGGTGCCCCGTCATGAAACCACAAATTATGTCTCCGTTGTAATGGCATGTTGTCTAAGGTCTGTTCCAAATGTTCTGGTTATTGGCTAGAAAGCTAAGGTATCATTCTCCTGACAACTTTGGGGGTACCTCGAAAGGGCCAATTACGTGATCGTCAAGAATACCCGCCCAAATATTTATTTTAAAACGTTGTTGGAAATGACCTTCACGAATGGTATGAGGATTTTCTTGGGCCCACGTGTGAGTATTATGGAAATTTAATATCCCTTCTCGCGTAAAAGTACGTTCGTCCGTCGCTAGAATATTTAAAAAAAGAATCCGGATTTTCAATGTTTTTGTGCAAAAACCACTGACACAATGTTAGTCTGGGAGGATAGTTTTCTGGTAACAAGACCTGCACTCGTTGTACATGGTAGGGATCAAGCAAATTTTCTCGTAGGATTCTATGGTATGCGATAGTCCTACGCGGCGGTCTAATAATAAAATTTGTTCATCCTGCTCTACAGTAACCTGTCTTTTACGAGTGCGAATATTAGTGGGCTGAACACTTCCTGTATCTCGAAGTCTTTGGTACACTTGGACAAATGTCCTTCTGTCTAAGTGTACCCGTTGGCGAAATCGGTTTGAATTCTGACAAGCTTCACCGTAAACTAACAACATGTCGGCGAACTTTGATTCGAGAAATTGTAAATAAACACGACGACGTACGCGAACAAAAACAAAACAACAGGCCCGATGCCCGATAACTAATCACTGTTATACCGTTTGCGATCGATTGCCGGTTCGATAAGAGTGATGAAAAACCGACGCGCTGTTGTCATGTGTGTTTTATATATTTAATTTAATGAAACTTACTTACTGACTACAAATTTTGGCTTAACTTAGAAAAACTTAAAGCCATTTATTTGTGAATTACCCAATTTAAAAACGATTTATATTAGGTTATAAAAATTAGTTAGATTGTGGTCGATATAAAGCACTTAAAGTTGTAAACTATAAAGCCATTTAGACAAAAACCTATTGACTTTTAGACCATGGGTCATATGAGCTTTTTGACTTGTTTTGACCCAACCTATTACCCATTTCAATAATGACTACCATAACGTTTACACCCTGTATATCATACTGAATTTTTATACAAATTGACTGGAACCCGTTTTTCATATGTTTTGTGCGCTAATGTACGGCAGTCCTTAATGACGTATATGCCCTATCAGTTCATCACAAGCGCGGCGAAAGTATTACCAGGCTGTAAAATTGTGCCTCACGAAGATATTGATTTCCGAAAGGTTTGTGAAGAGGTTGATTATAATTGAAACAACACAAATAATAATAAATAATTTAATATTTTCTAGAGAAATAAATATAAATTACCTAGCATCATTCACACTTCATTCGCGCACCTCCATCATTATATAAATACATTCAAAGTTTATAATTTACTTGTTACAAATAAAATGCCATTTGTTAATCTTCCGACACGATTCGCGCAAGTTCCATACATTAATTCTACACGATTTGAAGTTAGTAAAAAAATAATCATCTCGGACTAGATTTTTTTTCTATATTATACAAAAGGTATGAGAGCCTATTCCTGACGCATTCGACATTATCGCGTGTTTGCGAATGCGTAAAGAACCACGCAATTTTTTTATGAAAATCGGACTAACTTTAAAATGGTTCAATTTCTGATATGTTGCATATCTCACCGTCCTGAACAAATGTCTCAACGGACACAATCTCCTAAACCATAAGGCTTGTGCAGTAAAAATAGTACATTATAAATTACATAGCACATCTACCATTTTTTGGAATTACGTACACCCTCGACCAGATACCGGCAACTAGAAAAAGGTGCAAAAACGAGGTTTATAAGTAACTTTACATCAATTTTTATGACAAAAAAGATCCAAAATAACCTGTTACCTGACATTGGAATATTTCCGCAATAATGATAAATAAACTTATATCAGATTTCCGGTGAGCTATTTTGGGATTTAACTTTGAGCGAAGATTTTACAAAATGCCACGAAATTTGTGACAGAAGTATATTAGCACAAGCAACTTACATCGTAAAACAGCATACTGTCTTGACATATTGTAAAATCTAAGAATGTTTTGCTCAGAATTGAATTGCAACATAAATCAGCTACACCGGAAAACTTATATAAGTGGTTGATAGCACTGCCGTCTCGTGAATGTGTCTATTATCATTTATTATAATCGCGTAAATATTCCAATGTCAGGTAGTAGGTTATTTTGGACGTTTTGTGTAATAAAAATTTATGTTAAATTCTTTCTAAACCTAGTTTTTGTATCTTTTCCGAGTTCCCCATCATCTCTGGTCGACGGTGTACCTGACCTCAAAAAATGGTGAATGCACTATGCACTTTACAATCTACGATAATTCAACTTTAACCGTTTTTATCTCGCATACCTTAGGGTTGAAGAGGTTGTACCCATTGAGACATTTGTTCAGGTCGATGAGATAAATGCAACATATCTGAAATTCCGCCAACTTAACGGAATTCTGATTTCCATAAGTAAAGTGCGTGGTTCTTTGTGAAGGATGTCTAGTATAGGTCTCCTAAAATGCGAAATGCTTTTGGCATAAATGAAATAAGGACACATTTAATGGAATTATCATATACATAGTAGTGATTGTCAAAAACTGCAACTAAACTGCAATATTCGCTTCCTCGTAATATTGGGGCCAAACGAAAACGCAATTTCTCTGAAATTGCTAGATTTATTCAATGGAACCAGATTCCATTTAGAATTCACTGGGATATCAACATGGCCTCAATTATAGTCAATTATTTCACATCCCAACAGCGATTGTGGTGCTGAAGAAGTAAGAAGTGAATTTCAGCATTGTATGCGCTGATTTTTCGCAACTCTACTTTCCAGATTATAAGCATTTAGTATTTAAAAAAGTGGAAAATATGCAATTTTAAACAATATGAAAACACGACAATTTCATTTTCATAGTTCCAAAATATCCTTCACATACCCATTAACAAAATCACACAGCATTTAAGAGGGTATTGTTATTATAAACCTTTGTTTTTATAGCCTATAACTGACTTATCCTGTCAATGATGTTTATTAAATGGTGAATGAAACGCAAACATTGAGATGCAAGTTCATTCACAATTTAATAAACATCATTGACGTAATAAGTCAATTATCAGCAATTAAAAACAAAGGTTTACGCTCAGCAACATTGAAATTCTGTTTTATATTTTCGGGGTTGAAGATGACACATTTTGCACGTTTTCAAATAATAAACCACTTATATCTCAAAAACTGCAAGAACGTGAAAATGAAACCAGCATATCAGAGATATGTAAAATCAGTTGTTACTTCTTCGGCACCAAATCTTCTTTTTCATTTTGTTGGGCTGCGATTATTTTATTAAAATTAAAATCACTACATACAGATCTACAGTTTTACAAGAATTTACTTTGAAGTTGAAATTTTGTAGAAGATTTTTATAAATATGGGTATGGACAAAAAAAATCAATAAGTATCTTATAGATACGAAAATATACTTAGAGCATACAAGTAATTTAGGCACACTATATACATTGATGTTGGTATTCTAGAAAGCTTAGGGATCTTATACATATGTTTGTTGCTTGTAAGGCAGCATTGTTATTATTTGCTAAAAATTGCAAACGATTCAGACAAGTTGATATTAAACTAAATAAAATGTCGAACATGTATAAGTCCCTATATAAGAAATCGAAAAATGCTATACAATATTGAATATCCTTCAGCCAATATGGCCTACTTTATGTAGCTACACTTGCTTATTCAAAATAATATTGGTAAATTTGGGAGAACTAGAATACAAATATTACGAATATTATTGCTATGTATTCACATATTTATTGCCCTTGCAGTTGCAAAAATAAATACAAATAGATTACATACAGTATTCAGAATAATAGCATAGCTGCACAAAATTCGAAAAAACGACGTAGATATAGTACAGACGCTGCTAATCACCTTTGTGGCATAACCAGATCTTTATACCTTCGATAGCATTTGTTTTCACAAATTTTGACATGACAATAATGGGTGTTTTATTTAGAAGTATTTTTCCAAAGTATGTGTCACGTTATTATCAAATAAAAAAAATCGAGGGCATTTGTTTTTAATAAAGCGGTCTACTGGAATTCCAATTTCCTCCTTTTGAGTGAAATGTCTGGAGATGTGACAACATACGATCTAGATGGCCATGGTTTCACCGTATATCTTGCAAGTAGTGTCATTGGCTTGAACTTCAAATAACAAATGCATTTCAAAGAAAAGTTTTGAAAATGAAATATGTTTTTGGATGCTATATATGACATGTATAATATCATGCAAAACCATGTCACTCTTTCCGCAAATCCTTGGCCCGTCTGTAACTTGGAAAGTACTGCTTGGATTTGGATGAAATATTCAAACAACGTTACTACTATGCCAAGGACGAAAAAGATTTGTAGGTTTTGAAAATCGAAGAAAAATACCAAGAACGAAAAAAAATCCCTCAAACTTGGACGTTTCAAAGGACTCTGATCATTTTTGACAAAATTTTGAGGGGTGGAAAATTGGTGGCTGGGGGTTGTAGGTGATTGGGAGGAATTGCAATTGTTTAATGATAGTAGGTATATTAATGCACTTTCAACCCCGCCATGTGTTTGTAAATATCTTAATTTAATGAGGTCGGTTTCCTGAAGTAATATTATTTAGTATAGTGTTTATTGTTTTTGTATTTTTGTTGTGGAAAGAGTACCTCTAAATGGATCACCCGTTAGTTTCTAAAACATGAAGTTTCGTCTAAGTCTAATTTAAGCTAGGTGGCGTGCAAACTTTCCTATATATAATATGAAACAAATCGCAGAATAGGCACAGAGAGCAAGTATGACAGGCACGAAGATTGTATATGATTGTTTCAACTAGTTCTCCCAAATATAATCAAAAACAGCCAAAAGATTAACAAATGGTGGTTCAGTATTGGTAATATACATTTTGCTTACCAGCTAATTTTAGAATACTTTGTTGGTGTTCCCTGAAGTTGGTATGTATATGGTACCAACTGACGGCGAAGGAAAATGTTGGGCCAATTTGTTCATTAGGGGGGAGTACCATTAAGCCAGTTAGATTGTTCTAGTACCACATGCTTGGTTTTATCATAAAATCATAGAAGTGAATGATCAACAATTGCTTCTAGTTGTTTATTAATATATCAAGACGCTACCCATTATGATGAAATACGGCAGGCACCACCAGGGTAGGGTTCATCATATCCAGATACAGCAGGATTACCGTACAAGCTTGTTTTGCAACAATCAAAGCAAAACTAATATAAAAATGCCTTTTTGAGATTACTATTTTTGACCAACTAAAACGGCAGATCTATGCAAAATAAGGCACCTCAATATTTTGTATCCGTACGAGTCAAGGTATCCAATTCTCGAAATCATGTATTCGATGGTTATACTGGGAGGAAGCCAAAACCTCGACACACTCAAGCAACATCCATGAGCGCACGACTTTGAGTTGGTGTCGTAAATGTGACTCCACCTTTAGGTTAAGACTGAGGACTCCATTTCAAGAATTAGACTCCGAGATTCAAAAATCGCTGATCCGTTTTTGTGTATGGAAAATCTAACAGACTTTGTGTTTTATCCATTGAGGATGTTGACATATGTTCAAGGAAATGGCCTATAGATAATTTAAGATATTATAGTGAGGAGTAGTGGCAGTCTTCGGTTGTACATAGGCGTATCAACCCCGCAAGGTAGGGGGTACGTTGTTTTGACCATGTACTTAATACTACATGTACCAGGCGGATGCATCAATAATTACGCGAATTCTTCCCATGTCAGGGAAGATGTTGCAACAGCGCTAAAACCCGTCTCAACTCTCTAAAAATTGTCAGGATGGGCAAAATACAAGGTGTTTTCAAAGTTAGGAGTTTAATTTACACAGTGTATAGGTTGAAGTTTTCCCAGTAACAAGAGGTCTGTAAATTAAGTGATGTGACTGGCAACGTAGCGTTCGATCTGGCAACACTGGGCTGAAGGGGAGCATGTGATCCGCCTTCAGTACAAGTTTGAACTCGATCGAGTCATTTGGTAGTCCGTAACAATATTTTTGTGTTCTAAGAATGAGTGACATCAATTTCGAGCAACGGTTTGTTGTCAGGTTTTGTTTCAGACTTGGGCCAAACAGGCCTACGGAGATAGTGTTTTGTCTAGAGCCCAGGTCTTTCGGTGGCTTAAGGCATTTTCAGAAGGGAGATAGTCGATTCGACAGAATCCGGAATCATGTCAGAATGATCTGGGAAGAATAAAATTTGCCTCATACCACCGTTCATCAGATCAAGAACGACTGGGTGTTGCATCACGACAATGCTCCTTCCCACACATCATTGTTAATAAACGAGCTTTTGGCCAGTAAAAACATTCCTGAGGCTCTTCAGCCCCCTTATTCGCCTGATTTGAGTCCTTGTGACTTTTGCCTTTTTCCAAAGTTCAAAAATCTCCTCAAGGGAACCCATTCTGGTTCAGTCGGAGGCATTCCAGTATCAAAGTCCCAGCACTGCTATAAGGAGTAGAAGAACCGTCTCCAGCGCTGAGTGGTTTCAGAAGGAAGTTATTTTGATGGTGACAATATAAAGTTGAAATTATATTTGATTGAAAAAAAATTAGAAAATCAATCACTTAATTTATAGACGTCTTATACTTAGTTCCGAAAAGTCCTAAGTTGGCCATCTCGATCCTGTATCCAGACTGAAAGGGCACGACGTGCGACAGTATCCAAATCAGGCGCCACTCGGAGTGTAGGTTAACTTAGCTGTTTATTTACAAATAGTATTTGAACAAGCTGAAATTGGCAACAAAGGAGTTATCGATTTGATGTTACCTTACGAAGAGTGTCTTCACAATGCTACTGATACTTTGCGAGTGTATTCAGATCGTTTTCCTGGATGTTTCCATCCCGAACAGTATAGATTTATTTATATCGTACAAAGACCGTTTGTAGGTAGAAGACCTAGAGATGTTCTTAAATTGAGAAAGATGATAACAAACTTGTGGTTTTTAATCGATGGATAACTACTTCGAACAGTATTTACGAGCAACAATTGAAAAGCGAAACTTGACATTTTTTATGAAATGAATAATAATCTTCAATTTCATTTTTTACGTTTACGTCGAAATTTTACTTTGTTATAGCAAACGTAGTTATTGCTGAAAAGGAAAGCCCCAACGTTCGGAACACTGTGTATACAGTTCAAGAAATATTGAAGCAGCGACACAACACATGGTGTAATAGTATTAAGTATATGGTCTTAGCCCCAGTCAGTTCGGACGTCACAAGCTGATGCTTAAAACATGAATATAGGAATATTTCCACGAAAAAGCGAAAACATTTTTTAAATTCATATTAGGTGTTAAAATATGTCGGGCGCAAAGGACTTTTCCGCTCTCGAAATCAAGCGACAAACGCCTTTGCGTTCTCATCAGCCGTACAAACATCCGATACATCCCAATATCCACGTTGGTCTACACAACGTACCCTGACAAACATCCTAATATTTCGGTACTACCAATCAAGATCAGAGCGTAAATGGGTACTCGTCCAGGTAGGCGCGCAAAGATGCGGGCAGCTCGTGGGCAGCTGTAGCTGACTTGCAGCCACCTTCACGTACCACCTGGTTTGCGGCCATGCGAGCCAGGTGTTTCAAGGAGGGGATGCCTTCGCGCTTGCGCAATGGCTTGCTTATGTAGATCGGGGAGTACCATTTTCCCAGGCCGTCTACCCATACCTGGAACAAAAAACAAAATACTGAACAAATTGTTTTCTAAAGCTTAAATTAATTGAAGAGTAGGTAGGTATGGACAGTTTCAAAAATTTTTAAGGTTCGATTTCTTAGTCGCTCCAATTTGCCTCCCTCTTCCAGTCTTTTCTCCCCTTTACATATACAGGGTGTCCTATACATATGGACACACCCAAATACCTCGGAAACTAAGGATGCTAGCAAAAAAACTTCCAATACAATTGTTTTAGGAAATCAAATGGCACACCTGGTGGTTTTATGGATCATACAGGGTGTCCCAAAGGTATGGACACACCCAAATATCTAAGAAACTAAGGATGCCAGCAAAAAACTCTCAATACAAACGTTTTACGAAATCAAATGGCGCACCTAGTGGTTTTTGGATAATGCAGGGTCCCAAAAGTATGGACACACCCAAATATTGCGGAAACTACCGGTCCCAGAAAAAAAGTTAAATACAAAAGTTTTAAGAAATCAAGTAGCGCATCTAGTGGTGACCGTGAATTTGAAGGTTTGAAGGTCATTTCAAGTGCAAGATGATTTTTTCAAAATGGGAACGCTCATTTTTTATTGCAGAAATAGAAATCCAAAAAAAGTCCTTTTCAACTGCCCATCTGATGGTGACCTTCAATCTTCAAAATTGTTTCACATAGAAACCCTAATTTTGATACGAGCGCTGAAAATCGAGAAAAATTTTATGGTCAAAGGTTTAATTAACGAAAGTAAAATCACACCTCGAGCTTATTGCAAGGTCCTATTATGAGCTATTTTCGTGGACTATACTAAAGCGGCTGATAATCTTTGCAAGTGAAAAAAAAAAGATTTTTTCCAGCTATCCGTTGCTTCTCAACATTCCATAAAAGAGCAAAATTTGACCTTGAAATAACCTCTAGGTCTAATTTTAGCCCCTAGTTACAAAGGAAATTTCTTTGGTTTTTCGTTTCTGCATTAAAAAATGAGGGTTTATATTTGAAACTCAGCTTGCCCTTGAAATGACCTTCAACGTCAAATTCTCGGTCACAACTAAATGCGACATGTGATTTTCTGAAACTGTTTCTTTTCTAGCTCCCGTGGTTTCCGCGATATTTGGCGTGTCCGTACTTTTGGGATACCCCGTACGATCCATAACACACAATATCTCATTTTAGAAATTTTTACAGTTGCAATGCTTCTCGCCAGTAGGCGCGGGAAGGCAAAAAAGTAGGAAATCAAGTAGGAGCGTCTGAGAATACGACGCTAAGTGCGCGCCAAAACTACGAAATGGAAGAATTCATAAAGAAAATAATTTTGCAATTCAATAGACATGTCAGAGTTACAATTGGTATTCCTTACCAAAGATAGCAAAAACGACCGTAAGTATTTGCCAAAACTATGGAATAGAACCGTTGATAAAAAATAACTAACTAACTAACTAAGGTTATTGTATTCCGCACCATTTTTCATTTTAAGGGATTCTCTTGTGGCCATAGTCTGTTTGTGTGTTGAAAACGTAGTTTTCACTTTTTGAAAAATGTTATCAATACGTACACGATTTTGACTGAGCATGCCTCAACATTTCGGTTTACTTGAATAACCGAAAACACTTGAAGAAAAGAAGTAACTGGGTCAATAATTTATGTAGACAATGAAAAATAATGAACTTTTTTAACAAAGCGATATAACGGTTGTCATTTCTTGAAAATCCTTTTCAAAAAGGTATTTTCCACAGATAACTCTGTCGTACAGAGCATACGTGGTCAAATGTGTGAATTTCGAGCCAGGGTTGCCATACTTGGAGATTTTCCCCAAATTTGTGGGATTTTTATGTCCCTTGCGGAATTTTTGGGAAATAAAATGTTCTGGGGGATTTTTTGAGGAAATAAAGTCTATTCCATCTTTAACTAAGAAAACTGTTAACAACTGAATAACAATTTCATGTTCCTGTACCTTTTTCTTTCCCCATGTTGCACCCATCTCCACAAAACATCTACTCTGACACATCTCTACACTTTGTGTCAATTGTAGGTTGGTAGACATGCATCCATAGTCATAGAACACAGAAAAATAGAATAATAAGTTGTGAACTGGCCGGTTAATTTAGCTATCTGTCTCACGCGCGTGTTTCGGGAGAAATAATTAGACGATTACTTAATATCTATGATTTGGGGGATTTCTTTTTAAAAAGTTGCACCTGGGGTATTTTTGTGCTTGTTCCGGGGAAATTCTGTTCGATCCACCTGGCAACGCTGTTTCGAGCAGCAAAGTTGTACACCGCATCACCTCGAATATCCAACAAACTTGACAAAACGAAAAACAATTACTTACATGTGGGTTGAGGAGACAATACTTGCTCTGCCTGACATAATGCTCGACCAGATGGATGACCGAGGGGAACAAAGGCATCGCGGACAGCAAATGCGACTGGGCGTCGAGCCTGAAGTAACCCCGGATGTAGTGCAACCTAACCGAGGAGGGACCTCTATCCGTCGATATGCTCAGGGAGAACAGAAACCGGGGGTCCGACGAGTCCCTCACCAGGAAGGTGCCGTGTGGGGTGCCCTTCAGTAACTCGTCGCTCTCGGAGTGACCCAGGCCCTCGTAGTACCAGCCGGATTGGCGCAGATCCCGAACGATGTCTGATAACCTGCAAATAAAAGAGAAACGGGTGCTTCAAATTCGACCCTCAAGGGATATGAAGTCGCTTAAATAGGGGCAATGTTGCGTCGAAAGTTTCAAAATTAAAAGTACTTTCTGGAGAGACGCAAAAAAACGAATTTCCCCAAAATAGTTTCGATTTTTTCCTGACTTCATTTGTAGTAGGCTTTTAAAATAAATTGCACATTAACATTGTCATTTTTTCTCCTTTACTAGATGGCATAATTAGAATCTCAGTATCACGTTACGTCTTTTGGCCACCAGCATTTTTAGTTTTTTGATACAGATGAATAGAGTTTATAATTCTGATTCCAAAAATGTATAATATGTCATACATTTACCTCGCCAAACGTTAGTTATTTCAGGAAAACAGAATTTCCTAGGTAGGTCGTGAAATTAACAGTCGTTTGTTTCGTATACCAGACCAGACCACAAATCGGACATGGTAACACAGTTTCCAAGACTGAGAAGAAGGGAAATAAAACGAGCAGTGAACATTCTACAGAGAAGAGTCTGGCCTTGCCTATACAGGGTGTTTCAGTTTATTGTTGCATAACTTTAAGATTCGATAGAACTTTTAAAATTAATGCATACAGTCTATATAAACATGGGTCGAAAAATGCGTGGCTTGACTTTCTAAAATAGTTTTTTTAAATATTTCGAACAATATTTGATGTATAACAGTGAAAATTGGTATACAAGGGTTTTTTGGTACGACAAAATGAACCATGGGCATAGTTTTACTGTAGCCGCTAGAGGGCACTCTCTACTGTACCTGTAGTGTATTAAAATGACCGATTATTTTTTCTTAGTGCAATTTTTTGCTTTTTGAATAAAAAAGCTGATTCTTCGCACTTTTCAACATAAAAAAGCTCTCCTGTGAGTTTTCGTTATAGTTAGCCGTTTTTGAGATATTTCGATTTTTAAGGTTCGATGCATTTTTAATTATTTATGGGAAAATAATATTTTTTTTACATTTTCGATTTGGGCATTACAAGTAATTAAGATGATCGTTTAGATTGTGTTTTTAAACACAGCAATAATTCCTAACTCCAAATAAACACAAAAAACAGAATATTAATTTGTTTAATTTTCCAATAATATTTTTAACAAATTAAATTAATTATTTACAACTAAAATGTTATTGGATAGTTAGGACAAACATGCAAAATCTAAAGTAGTTGCTCAAAATGTAAACCCAATTGTTCAAATGCACAATTCACATCTACGAATGGTCAGGCCTTATTTCATCACATGCATTCCTGATTCTTTCTATTAGCATATCTCTTGTGGTTACGGGAGTCTGGTACACTATTTCTTTTAGAAATCCCCACACAAAGGAATCTAATGGATTTAGGTCAGGGGATCGTGGAGGCCAGGCGACTGGCTAATTTTCGTCCAGCCAGTTTCTAACTATTTTCGAATAATGAGCTGGACAACCATCAAGCTGGAACCAGGCCAATCTTCTTAAATCTAACATAACATCATCCCACATATTTGCATGTTCAGCCTTTAAAAATTCCAAGAAGGTCACAGCATTTAACCTTGCAGGCAAAAGGTAGGGTCCAAATAGTCGATTACTGTAGATACCAATCCACACGTTCACACTAAATTCATGCTGAAAATTTCTTTCCCGAACTGCATGCGGATGTTCATGCGACCAAATATGTTGATTATGAAAATTTACCACTCCACGTCTAGTGAAGCATGACTCATCGGTCCATAAAACGTTACTTAAAAACTCCCTATTATTATCAGTTCTATCAAGAATCCACTGACAAAATGTGATTCTTCGTTCTCCGTCCCCTGGCTGTAGTCCTTGCACAGGTTGCAAATGGTAAGGACGTCTATGGTCATTTCTAAGAACACGGTGAACATGGCTTGCTGAAATTCTCAAGGCACCAGAAACTCTCCTAACACTTATGGTCGGATCTCTATCAAACTCACGCAGAATCATACGGGTGAATCTGCGCTGACGAACATTTATGTTTTGATCCCTTTGGAGATTTCCAAAACCATTTTCAATCATTTGGCGATGCACTCTTACAAATACTAAGCGAGTTGGATGTCGTGTGTTTGGAAATCTTCGTGCGTATTCTCTGACTGCTTCTGCTGCGTTTCCATTTACAAAGCCATACATAAAATGAATATCCGCTAACTCTTGATAGGAGAGTAAAAATGGCATTTTTATAAAACTTACAAAAATAAACAGGTAAAAGAAACTAAACTTCGTACATTCACAATTGCAAAAAAACGTTTCAGGTTTCAACAGACAACAAAACTAACTGTCAACTAATTGACGTTTAACCTTATTCTGCTTTCAATTTCAAAAATATTTGCAGGCACAGCCTACTTCTAAAAATTATCGAGATACTGACTTTTTAACGTTATTTTATTATAAATAATTAAAAATGCATCGAACCTTAAAAATCGAAATATCTCAAAAACGGCTAACTATAACGAAAATTCACAAGAGAGCTTTTTTATGTTGAAAAGTGCGAAGAATCAGTTTTTTTTATTCAAAAAGCAAAAAATTGCACAAAGAAAAAATTTTCGGTCATTTTAATACACTACAGGTACAGTAGAGAGCGCCCTCTAGCGGCTACAGTAAAACTATGCCCATGCTTCGTTTTGTCGTACCAAAAAACCCTTGTATACCAATTTTCACTGTTATACATCAAATATTGTTCGAAATATTTAAAAAAAACTATTTTAGAAAGTAAATTTAAACAGCCTGTATTTCGGAAGCCAGGCATTTTTCGACCCATGTTTATATAGACTTTATGCATTAATTTTAAAAGTTCTATCGAATCTTAAAGTTATGCAACAATAAACTGAAATATCCTGTATAATAACGGAAAACATTTTAAGCAACTACCATGTGCTGATTTATGATTATTATTGTTATTACGATCAATCAAACTTTCATGTCGTGTTCAGGTTTCACAATACCTTTTTACTTATTAATAATTTTCATTCCAAGAACAAATTCATGGCTTAAATCAGGAAATATTTAGGACTGAAAAATCCATTTAAATGTAGAAAATTCCAATATGTACGCTATTCGTATGAAAAAACAAAGTTGGTGATGCAAGTCGAAAGAAGAAATTATAATATATGTATAATGGATTGAACATTTTACTACACCATCTTGTAGAGGAGAAAAATTGACAGTTACAACATGTAACTTACTTTGACATCCCATCTCGAGTAGTCACGAAAAATAAAAAATGATTTTGCGATTAATCTGGTATACTAAACAAATGATAATTCCAAGGCCTACCTAAGATTTTTTTAAATAACTGAGGTTTGGAAGTGCTAATGTATACATTTTCGGAATCAGAATTAAAAACTCTATTCACTTGTGCAAAAATCCAATAGGGGAAAAATAAATTTGATGCTGGAGGACAAGAGACTAAACGTGATATTAAAATTCTCATCATTATATTTATTTTGAATTTTACTACAGATAACGGCAGGAGAAAATTAATTTGATTTTGGAAAAATTTGTTTTTTTCAGTCTCTATCCGGAAATATTTTAAATTTCGAAACTTTCTAAACGGCAAACGCGAGCGCAAATCTCGAATGTGCTGCTGCTATTACTTTTTCCGACTTTCGTATCACTCTGTATATCACTACAAAATTGTAACAACGGATATACTATATTACCATAAGTGCACGTACATTATTTCTAAACATCGTTTAGTCGAAGAATTTCCTATTGAGTCATTTACTGCATTTTTTGAATCGCTGGAAATTCCTATTAAGTTGCTTTCTTTTCTTTCAAGAACTACTTAATTCTTATTTTAATGTATATTTTACAATGTACACAAACGTGACAGTTATCATGCAATTCATATTTCCATGTCCATTCTTGGACTTGTTAAGAACGTATATTTTGAAATCTAATAATCCGTATATGAACATTGTTATGGTTTCATATAGCGTATCGTTTGAATTTTGAATCTACTGTAATCAATTTGTTGACACGAGGTATTCATAGAAAAGTAGTAGTAGAGTCAGGCCATGAGATATACGAGTATAGTATCCAGGTATAGAAACGCCCAAGCCTGCCTTTTTTTTCAAATAAAATGGTATCTTTGTGATAAAATTAGAGATTTGTGAAAATATTTTTTTCTTTGGATTAGGTGCTCCATACAACTTTTATCATAAGATGATCTCAGTCGGTCATGACGCGGCGATAGCGTGATATCCTCAGTAGTTTGTCCATGGCCAACTGAGATAATATAAATAATGCAATAATCCAAAACTGCACGCATGCGCAGATCGCGATCTAGTTCTATCTCTCTTACTCCCCTACAGAGGGTCTATAGAAGATTTATCAATCCTGGCGGTTTCGCATTAATCAAACTTCTGCAAATTGAGGAAAATTATGCTCAAAGTATCCGTTACAAACATACAGACCAAGCTAATAAAAGCGTGTTAAAGTCATATGGAGCATTTAAGCAAAATAGATATCAAAATTTCCATATATTTCGAAAATAATTTGTCAAGTAAACAACCATATACAAAAAATAACCTTGTTTTCAAAGCTTAATACGATGTATCTACATAAAAAAGTGGTTTTATTTTGAAAAAATCTTTTTGGGTTTATAAAATACAGGGTGTTTCAGTTTATTGTTGCATAACTTTAAGATTCGATAGAACTTTTAAAATTAATGCATAAAGTCTATATAAACATAGGTCGAAAAATTCGTGGCTTCCGAAATACAGGGTGTTTAAATTTACTTTCTAAAATAGTTTTTTTTTAAATATTTCGAACAATATTTGATGTATAACAGTGAAAATTGGTATACAAGGGTTTTTTGGTACGACAAAACGAACCGTGTGCATAGTTTTACTGTAGCCGCTAGAGGGCGCTCTCTACTGTATCTGTAGTGTATTAAAATGACCGAAAATTTTTTCTTAGTGCAAATTTTTGCTTTTTGAATAAAAAAAACTGATTCTGCGCACTTTTCTGCATAAAAAAGTTTTCCTGTGAGTTTTCGTTATAGTTAGCCGTTTTTGAGATATTTCGATTTTTAAGGGTCGATGCATTTTTAGTTATTTATGGGAAAATAATATTTTTTACATTTTCGATTTGGGCATTACAAGTAATTAAGATGATCGTTTAGATTGTGTTTTTAAACACAGCAATAATTCCTCCAAATAAACACAAAAAAACAGAATATTAATTTGTTTAATTTTCCAATATTATTTTTAACGAATTAAATTGATTATTTACAACTAAAATGCTATTGGATAGTTAGGACAAACATACAAAATCTAAAGTAGTTGCTCGAAATGTAAACCCAATTGTTCAATACACAATTCACATCTACGAATGATCGAACGTGGTATAGCATTACTCAAATAAGGCCTTTTTTCATCACATGCATTCCTGATTCTGTCTATTAGCATATCTCTGGTGGTTACTGGAGTCTGGTACACTTTTTCTTTTAGAAATCCCCACACAAAGAAATCTAATGGATTTAGGTCAAGGGATCGTGGAGGCCAGGCGCCTGGTCCTTCACGGACGATCCATCTTTCTGGATAATTTTCGTCCAGCCAGTTTCTAACTATTCTCGAATAATGAGCTGGACAACCATCAAGCTGGAACCAGGCCAATCTTCTTAAATCTAACATAACATCATCCCACATATTTGCATGTTCAGCCTTTAAAAATTCCAACCTTGCAGGCAAAAGGTACGGTCCAAATACTCGATTACGGTAGATACCAATCCACACGTTCACACTAAATTCATGCTGACAATTTCTTTCCCGAACTGCATGCGGATTTTCATGCGACCAAATATGTTGATTATGAAAATTTACCACTCCACGTCTAGTGAAGCATGACTCATCGGTCCATAAAACGTTACTTAAAAACTCCCTATCCACTGACAAAATGTGATTCTTCGTTCTCCGTCCCCTGGCTGTAGTCCTTGCATAGGTTGCAAATGGTAAGGACGTCTTTGGTCATTTCTAAGAACACGGTGAACATGGCTTGCTGAAATTCCCAAGGCACCAGAAACTCTCCTAACACTTGTGGTCGGATCTCTATCAAACTCACGCAGAATCATACGGGTAAATCTGCGCTGACGAACATTTATGTTTTGATCCGTTTGGGGATCTCCAAAACCATTTTCAATTATTTGGCGATGCAAATACTGAGCGAGTTGGATGTCGTCTGTTTGGAAATCTTCGTGCGCTAACTCTTGATTGGAGAATAAAAATGGCATTTTTATAAAACTTACAAAAAAAAAACAGGTAAAAGAAACTAAATTTCGTGCATTCACAATTGCAAAAAAACGTTTCAGGTTTCAACAGACAACAAAACTAACTGTCAACTAATTGGCGTTTAACCTTATTCTGCTTTCAATTTCAAAAATGTTTGCAGGCACAGCCTACTTCTAAAAATTATCGAGATACTGACTTTTTAACGTTATTTTATCATAAATAATTAAAAATGCATCGAACCTTAAAAATCGAAATATCTCAAAAACGGCTAACTATAACGAAAATTCACAAGAAAGCTTTTTTATGTTGAAAAGTGCGAAGAATCAGTTTTTTTATTCAAAAAGCAACAAATTGCACTAAGAAAAATTTTTCGGTCATTTTAATACACGACAGGTACAGTAGAGAGCGCCCTCTAGCGGCTACAGTAAAACTATGCCCATGGTTCGTTTTGTCGTACCAAAAAACCCTTGTATACCAATTTTCACTGTTATACATCAAATACTGTTCGAAATATTTAAAAAAAAACTATTTTAGAAAGTAAATTTAAACACCCTGTATTTCGGAAACCACGCATTTTTCGGCCCATGTTTATATAGACTTTATGCATTAATTTTAAAAGTTCTATCGAATCTTAAAGTTATGCAACAATAAACTGAAACACCCTGTATAATTTTCATACTTTTTCTCATACTATATATTATCCAAATCCAGAATTAAAATCTACTAAAGTAGGTTTCTGTTGTAAGAAACATATAACAAACTCAAAAATAGGAGGAAAAATCGTTATTGGTTATAACCATTGTCATTTTTCATTTTTGTCACAGCGACTCACCTTTGAAACTCTGTGTCCGCTTCCTGCGGCGGCGGGGGCGGTACAGGCTGCAAGGGCACAAGCTGCTGCGCGGCCCCTGTTGTAAACGGGGGCAGTACGAATGCGAGCGGTACGCTGGGAGACGCCGCCTCCGGCGTGGGAAAAAGGGGCGGGTCGTTCATCGAGATGATCCCGCCTCCGCTGAACCACCTGCGCGGACCGCCGTTGCAACACTCGAACTCGTGCTGACATTTCGGACAGACTGCGTGCGCGCTACAACCGAACATGGCGACTGGGGACGGCAGGTGGGGCTAGTAGGGCGGTGCAACAGCGATGCGGTGGTAGGGGTGCTGATGCGGCCATTCCCGCTGATGAAAGGGGCTCATAGGGGGGGTCCTGCAACAAAAAACAACAATTATTATTATGTATATACCAACTAAAGATTATTGTTGTGCTCATTTCGATATGGCTTTAAAAAAACTGCAGAAAATAAACCACCTAAGTTTCCATGTTAATCCTAGCGCTGAGTTGTGTCTAGAACACAGGGACGCAGTGGTTGAAGGAAAATTCCTTTTCTACTGCAGTGTCGTCAAATATTTCCATTTTCGTCCTCTATTGATGTGAGTAATAAACGCCTACCTTTAATTATTCTTTCTTTAGTGTTGTGAAAGTAAATTTAAACTATGAAATGAGTCGCTTTGCACCCCCGTGGGTTCTAGCGCCAGTTGGTTTTCAGAATCTACGCACCCGATTCACGCATCAAACGAGTTTCGCGCAGAAGCACAGTGTCCCATACCGGGCCAGCGAATTCAAGAATTGGCCTCACGAATGCCTTTTAAATGTAGGCGCAAGTATTGACATTGGATCCTTTGAAAGACCTCTCCAGCATGTATAGAAGTTTCTTGGCTTTTGATGTAACGTGGTGAATATGCTCTGACCAGGAAAGACGATCGTTGACTACAACGCCAAGATCAGTGTGGCTGGAAACTGCTTCGATGTTGTGGTCAGAGATATTGTATGTAAATCGCGGATTTGTCTTCCCGAGGTGAAGGACACAACACTTAGTTAGATTTAAGGGTAAGAGCGAACTGACTGACCATTGACAAACAATATCAAGATCTCGTTGAAGCATAGCAGAATTTACGACAGTATTGTAAATCTTGGTGTCGTCGGCATAAGCTGAACATGTGGAGGAAATCAATGCGGGCAGGTCACTTGCATACAGAAGGAACAGCACTGGCCCCAATACAGAGCCTTGAGGAACTCCACTTGCTACATGATGAAGGTGAGACTGGCTATCACTGACGCGCACAGAGAAAGTCCTCCCGGTGAGAAAAGCCTTAATCCACAGTAACAACTCGCCTCTTATTCCCATACATTCCAACTTAAACAGAAGCCTTCTATGTGGTACGCGATCGAAAGCCCTAGAAAAATCTAAGTAGATTATATCAACAGAAGTCTTTGCGTCCAGAAACTGAGTCCAATCGTTGAGAGAGTGGAGAAGGTTGGTCATTATTGATCGACCAGGGAGAAATCCATGGGATAAGGTCATTTTCGAAATTAAATGACAGGAGCTTATCTAATATGATTCTTTCAGCTATTTTGGCGGCGATAGGAACCAGACTTATTGGTCGATAATTTTTAGCGGAGGATTTGTCGCCCTTTTTGAATACAGGGGTAACAGAAGCACTAAGCCAGCATGAGGGTAGGGTATGAGATCTAAAAGACGATGTGAATATCAAGCTTAATGGTAGGGCCAGTGCTGAAGCGCAGTTTTTAAGTACAGCAGCCGTCATCCCATCTTTACCAGGGGAGGAAGAGGTCTTCAGATTTTGCAGGTGCATTAATACATCTGCAGGCTATACCAGAGAATTTTAAAATATTCTTATATAAAACATCAAAAAGTATTATACCTAGGTAGTTTTGGGCACTCAAGTCAAACAAGTTCGTTAAAAAAATGGGGTCCAGTACGTTGAGTCTGCACCTCCCATGCAACGCTCTAATCAGTTTATGGAAAATCATGTTCGGGATAATCAACCATCAAAACTAGAAATAAAGGGTTTGCCCGGAAAGCAATGAGCCTTTTTTACAAAATATATTGACCAATATAGTACAGAAACTCAATATTCTTCGAAGTAGTACTCTTCTGCCAGCGTGATTTTCAAGCCATGTACCCCCTGGAACTACTCGACCTGGATGATGTTTAGGGAGGCCGTCGAAATAGCTTGAATGTTCTTTGGGTTGTCCAGATGATGTCCCTTGAGATCCATTTTTGTTCGAGGAAACAAAAAGGAGTCTGCTGGGTCCACCTTGGCAGCTTTCGACGATGCGTTGAAGAAGCTCATCCGAACTTTCAGATTGGGGAGTAAACACAATAGATTTCAAATGGCCCCATAGAAAAAAGATTAATGGCTTCAAATCAGGAAATCTAGCAGGCCATTCTATAGACCCTCTTCTCCCTATCCATTTATCTGGAAACTCGTCGTCTAGCCATTGCCGAACCAGAAGAACATAGTGAGGAGGAGCACAAACTTGCTGGAAAATTTCAGCATCATCAAGTACCTATACGGTTTCCATCTTCTTTGATTTGGTTTTCAATGGTTTCAGTGATAAGCGGATTTATGGTATTTTCCAACATCCAAATGAATGTCTCCATTCAAATTTCCATTAATAAACAATGGTGCAATCACTTTGTTTCCTAAAATGCATGCATTAATTTTTGGGGCGTCCTGAGTATGTCCCTCTACAAAAGCACAAGGGTTTTCATTGCTGCAACACCTGCAGTTATGCTTATTAACAAATCCATTTAGATAAAATGTGCATTCATCACTGAAGCAGATATTCTTTACATGAATCGTATTATCATTAATCGCTGAAGTCATTTGTTCACAACACTCACAACTTTTTCCTCTGGAAGGTCGTATGAAAAAGTTAGAGGAGGGTTAAATTATAGCTGGACGTTCTATACCGTTGCACAGCTAACATAATAGTCTGACAATGCAAAAAGAAACGCACGCTACTGGAAATGTATAATTTGTCTAATGTAGGTAATTTAGATACATTTGTTGAAAAGTAAATAGAACACACGCGAATATTTTCACGTGAAAACGCTTTGTAGGTGGTTATTACCTCTACAGATAATTGTACTCATTATTATCATTACCTTGCCACAAAGTGCTGAAATTACTAGATAGTACGACAAACAGATTTTCACTTAGTAGCGCTTTTCGGTGAGAATGGAAATTGAAATTGATAACTTATCTTCACGCTACAATGTCATTGGAAAATGTTCGATTATTCCATTGTAATTTTAACGTACTATGCACCGGGCTTTACAAAAGGTTTAAAGACATTTTTCAACAGCATATCTACAAATACGAGTAGTTTACATACAATGTATGGTGCAAAAAACCAGATGCCATATTTTCTACCTGTTTTTATAACAACGAGTTTTTCTATGGAATAAGATAAACCCATTTAAAAGGATTAGTGTCTATAAGCGGGGCTTTGGGCGCTGAAAATAACTCAAATCGATGGAATTTTTTGTACTTGGTTGTTTTTGAAAAACTCCCGTTTGCAAATATTTAACTTAGGCCCGTATCGTCAGTCGTCCCTACAATTTTAGGGCGCGTTTATGGCCTCCTTGATTGTCATAGTTTTCTACTTCTCCGTGTCAACGCTCTATTTTGAGGTTATGTCACAAACATCTATCTGCATCAAAATGTGCTTGCTTTTGAGTTATATCATGTTTTATCAGCCTGAAATTTCCTACAATTTAAAAGGAAAACATATCTTAACAATAGGAGAGCGCTGACGCTGACACGGGACGAGTGTAATCTAGAAATTTTTGAAGGAGAGAAAAGAGTATGACAAACAAGGAGGCCATAAACGCGCCCTACAATTGTAGGGACGACTGACGATACGGGCCTTAGTTTCTTAATATGAGCATAATATGGTCGAAAGACGTTCTACTTCAAATCTATAATAAAAGAGTAGGACACAAAACAAGCACAAAAATAAAAGAGTTGCTCCTGTGCGTTCACATTTAAAACAAAAGTTGTAATCTCATTATAATTTTGTATTGATTGGTTTCAACACTTGTTTTTATTGTAAGCGCAGTGTGACAGCACTTCCACTTTTATGTTCTGTGTCTTTTTATGTTTTATTATAGATTTGAAGCAGAAGTATTACGACCTTGCCCTCATATACAAATACCAAGTTCAATACTCGAAAATCGGTGAAATTTGGATAAAAACACAAATTTGTCGAAATTTAGGCTTTTAAAAAACAATCAAGTACTATAACAAACAGAAACGTTTTGATAAAAGTTTCAAATACATCATATGGTGTAAAATATTTGAATGCAAAATTTTCATCTGTGTGAAATTTTCCTTTCAGGATCGAAAATCCTGCCTAAAGACGCTGATCCTAACCGCTCCATAGTTGATAAGTGACATATGAGGAATGCGTCAATATTCTAATTTCTTAAAATTCACCTTGGCCACGCTGTCAAAACGTTGTCTGTTTTTTTTAAATGCTTGTTCTTATATGAATTTTTCTTTACTGCGCCAAAAAAGTATCAGAAACTCGAAGACACTTGAAAACGAAGCTAGGGAAAGTTCTGGATTTTTTTTATTTTTACTCATAACTCGGCTACCACTGAATCAATTTTCAAAAACTCCAAAGCTTTTCGAACTAAAGAGAGGTCGTGACCTTATATGAAAATACCATACAAATCTAACGTTACATATTTTTTCTAAATAAGCAATTCTGAATATTTAAAAATTGCATATACAGGGTGTTTCAGTTTATTGTTGCATAACTTTAAGATTCGATAGAACTTTTAAAATTAATGCATAAAGTCTATTAAATTTACTTTCTAAAATAGTTTTTTTTAAATATTTCGAACAATATTTGATGTATAACAGTGAAAATTGGTATACAAGGGTTTTTTGGTACGACAAAACGAACCATGGGCATAGTTTTACTGTAGCCGCTAGAGGGCGCTCTCTACTGTACCTGTAGTGTATTAAAATGACCGAAAAAATTTTCTTGGTACAATTTTTTTCTTTTTGAATAAAAAAACTGATTCTTCGCAATTTTGAACATAAAAAAGCTCTCTTGTGAAGTTTCGTTATAGTTAGCCGTTTTTGAGATATTTCGATTTTTAAGGTTCGATGCATTTTTAATTATGTATGACAAAATAATGTTAAAAAGGCAGTATCTCGATAATTTTTAGAAGTAGGCTGTGCCTGCAAAAATTTTTGAAATTGAAAGTATGCAGTTCGGCTACAGTAAAACTATGCCCATGGTTCGTTTTGTCGTACCAAAAAACCCTTGTATACCAATTTTCACTGTTATACATCTAGTGTACCTGTAGTGTATTAAAATGACCG